AAGATAATGAACACGCTTCTTGTCACGTTCAAGGAGTGTACGTACATCTACGATGACATGGAGAACGTAGATGGCTACTTGAACTACCTTGAAATGAGTCTACTCAAATTCATTGGCTATGTTGACGACGACCTGAAGAAGAACGGAATTGAACACTACTTCAAGAGCATAGCACAGGCTGTGAAGACAACTGCGGCAGCAAAGACGGCATTCAAGAGGGCAGTCAAAGTCAGCGAGGTGCTTGAAGTCTCACCAGCTGTTACTGCTCATTTTAAGGTTAAAATGAGTGAAGCAAAGGCAGACGCATTTTTCAACTTGTTAAAGAACGGAGATGAAGACGGAGAAGACGAGGAGAAGAATGCGGCCGTATTTGAGTATTTTGTGACTGAAGAAGAGACGGCATCTGCCACCGTAAACAGGCTACTTGAGAAGTCGACCAGAATATTTGTGTCGTACAAGGAGATCATCAAAGAGAACGAGCTGTCCAACATCCAGGACATTCTGATAGATCACATCAAGGCATCTGTTGAGGAGCAGAGCTTTGGAACCTACGACTTCTTCAGGCTTCAAATTACGGATGTACGAAAGTGCCTTGGAAGCAGAAAGTCGCCTAAAAACAGGATACTCGACCGATTTCTACGAGANGTATTTGAGTATTTTGTGACTGAAGAAGAGACGGCATCTGCCACCGTAAACAGGCTACTTGAGAAGTCGACCAGAATATTTGTGTCGTACAAGGAGATCATCAAAGAGAACGAGCTGTCCAACATCCAGGACATTCTGATAGATCACATCAAGGCATCTGTTGAGGAGCAGAGCTTTGGAACCTACGACTTCTTCAGGCTTCAAATTACGGATGTACGAAAGTGCCTTGGAAGCAGAAAGTCGCCTAAAAACAGGATACTCGACCGATTTCTACGAGAGAAGCGCGAGAAGACGGTGCTTCGCCTGAGCAACGAGCTTGAGAAGACCGTGGTCAACGCAAAAAGTGGTGAAGACAAAACAAACAAAGTTGTTGCTGTGTTTATGCACATTCTACACCTGTTGGACAAGACATCGAAGGAGAGTCTGAAGGACATTCTGTTTGAAGCCAAACAGCAGATAATGAACGACCAGGTCACATTCTACTTCCTACACAAATTCATCAGAATGCGTGAACCAGACTTAGACAAGGCCAATCGTGAGGTAGCCACCAGAATCCACGACCAGTTCAAGTGCCTTAAGGATGAAATTTATCAGTGATAAATAGTCAAAACAAAA